TAGATAATTAACATTGACATAAACCTTCATTGCTCAGGACGTTAAGTGCTCAACTTTGGATTTCATAAAGTTCAGTTACCGACTACTACTATTTTTTCTGAACTATTATCAAAATACTATAAAATTTAGCAGAAAGATTGCATTAATTGTATTTTTTATATTTTTTCCAAAATAAAAAAGAATGTTTTTATCTGTAATTGAATCCGGGTTGGGAAATCCAAACTTGAACGCTTAACGACTTAAGTCTTGAAGGCACTTATATCAAGTTAATTATCTAATCAAATATATGACGTGGCTTTTAAAAATACCATCATTGTGCGCTCCACTGCTGGTGTGTCCATCTTCTACAAGAGAAAAAGAAGGAAACATTTGTAAAGTTGTCTTGCACAAATGTGTACCAAAAATGGGCAACTGGCTCTCATAAGCCTTTTTCGTTTAATCGTCTCATTATTTGAACACTAAACGCCAGCATGGGAAATATATGTTAAAATTAGTTTTAAGAACTTTTAACATTCAAATAAACAAAAACAATTTATAAATCTATTATTAAAATCCGCGTTGGAACAAAACATGTAAAATGGTTGAATTTGAAAGATATTCTAAAAAGGGAAAGGACCTCGGTCGAGAGCCTATTGGACTGAATATTCAGTTCAATGACAATTATTAATATTACTATTCTTAAATATTTTGTTGTTTAATTTACTTGTAAATTTATGTGTGAATATATTTATAAATTACACTGGTCACCAGTGATTTTGTGGACGGGGGTTTAAGAGCGTTTTTGGGCGATCGTTTTACCGATTTCAAATCGCTTCTCCAGCCTATAAATCTTCAATTTAAGAAGAATAAAATAAAGTAGTTCTGTCTAAAACTAAAATAAATTTGCTATCTCGATTATTTCCAAACTTTTCCTTAACGCCTTAGTTATAAGTTTCATATTACATTTTTTTTTATTTGCTATTTCTGTGGAATCATTAATTTTCACTTGCGTTATTGTTCTTCTAAAAACGCGAAATGTTACTCACGTTTTGCTTGATTGGCTTTAATTTTTGAGATAGTCAACCAGTCGAAATAAAAAAAATTCAAAAAATAATAAGACATATTATTTAATCAGTTTTGTCTGAGCCCCGGTCTGAGCTAACTAAAAGGCTGTATTCTATAAACAATGAAAAATAGTGATTGTTTTTTGAACTACTTAAAACATTTTCACTCAAACTGCGTGCGTGATTCAATTTAAAAATACTTTCCAGAATAAAACCACGTGTTACAGTTTTGACTTTATTTATTACTAAACAGCCCAGTCATATACAAAAACATTAATCCAAAATCTAAATTAAAAGTACCTAATAATAAATTGCCTATCTACTAGGGTCGGTAACCAAACGTATAAACAGAATGGGCGGATTTTGTTCATACATTACACTCCGCACTGACACTTAACCTGGATTAAATATAACTATAAATACAAATATTTACAAACAAATATACTTTTCCAAACAGTGATAATTTATAAAAAAAATGTTTTTTATAAGATTTTCTTTTATGTTCAAAGTTAGGACTTTATAATTATTGTGTCGTTCGTAGAATTCTGTACTAAATAAGAGCACTGATTTTGGAAATAAATTTTAACCATTTTGGCAAGTTGTTGAACCTTGTAACATTGCATAATGAAATATAAAGACTAACTGAATATGTCTGCCACAGATAGATCACTTGTAGGTCTATCGATTTCGTCTTGAGCTATTCCTAAAGAGTGGAGCTATTGAAAACTTCCTTTCAACGTGATTTATTTCAACACTCAGAGCCAGCCGAGAGAACATTTTTTTCTTATATTCATGGTCAACAGCCAAGATACATTTGGAAGTCGCTAATATATCCCTGTGACTATTTTTTTTAATTTGTTTTCCAGTGTTGATTGTTGATTGATTTTTCCCTGATTAGTGATTTTCTTGTTCCTTAACTCAATACCTTGCAAACTGTTGATAGCTTTAATTAAATTTTGTAGCAAAGCTTGTTCAAATTTTGAAAACTATAAAAATATTCAGCTATTTTTATGGTTATAAACGTTTCCAACACTTAGTCCAATTATTATTTTTAAATAAATAAAGACGTTTTTAACTCTAATAGGTAGGTGATAGAGGCCATGTGCCTGAACGAAAAGAAGACGTAGATGGCGTATCTGCATAGCATTAAAAATTGACTACTTCATTAAATCGTCACTAGATGCCGCTCGAGATTGCGTCCAACACTTTTTACTGTTGCATTATCCTACTATATTATCTTCATACAACGCTATTACGAAATAAACTACACTTTACTACTTTACGGCGACCAAAGAATGTCATCTGATAACAATACAACTAAAATTGTTACAAAAATTTTCTTTTTTTTAATAACAATGTAAAGATTATGTAAAACCGGTTTTATACTTTTGGTTAGCCACTGTATGGGCTACGTAGATAGTAGCGATGTAAAACTCGAGGGTTATAATCCAGGTAAAAATACCTTTAAAATAAGATATCATTCGACCCCTCTCTGCATTTAAAATTTTAGGGTTGAGTCTCATCCCCGCTAGAGGGTTTTCGTTCAGGGGGTAAAACTGACAAAAAATGTTACTCGTGAGCATTACTAGAGAGCTGTTTCTGACTCTAAATGAACGTTCCTCTTTAATGGTGCTTGATCTGGAGCAACTTCCAAATATTTTTCCTTATCCCCTCAAGCATTTTCTCGATAGCATAATTTACAGAGCTCTTGTCTTGTAATTTGTAGACCGTTATTAGTCGTTCTTTTTTGAACTCATAGGATTTTATACAAGAATAATAAACCTTTAAGTCCAAGTTCAACACGATGTCAATGACAACTGACGGCGACTTTTTTATCACAAAAAATACAGCTCCGAACAATTATAATTTCAGAAATTGTTTTTAAAAACAGGTTCAGAGTACGATAAATGGTGGAAAATGTATAGTTTGTTTTACTTTTAATGCATAGTATTTTAATAAGTGATATTTAACAAATATTTAAAAGTTATGGACTTTCCAACATTTTTTGTAGTATTTAAAAGCTGAAACGCAAAATACACTCTTCTATTTGTGTTCTAATTATTTGTTGAGATTTAAAAATTTACTGTCGATGAGGTGGAGCGAATTTGCAACGGTGCTAATTCGAAATATATCTTTTATTAAACTCATCGTGTTACGTATTTGTTTAAATTAAGAGATAGAAATTTAAAGTGACGTCTTGTATGACTTCGAATGAAAAATCGTCTTCTAATCTAAGAAAAAAATTGAGTTGGGTCTTAAGAAGAAAGCTTTAATATTTTGCATTAGGATTATCTCAGCACACAACTCTGACAGCCAATGAAATACTGATGCCGCATTGTGGCATCCTGTCGCTCTACGAACTTGGGCCACGACAGCTTCTTCATTTCACTTATTGGCACTTTTTATCCACGTTGTGCTATAGGTGCTCCGCACCCAGTTTAAAACTGCTTGCTATATAATTACTATTATATATGGACATTTGCATTTCTATAAATTACATCTCATGGATATAAAATAGATATCCACCATGGACTGGACATTCAGTGGATATTGGGATGTCCAGTAGATATCCAAAGGATTTGGTATGCTGTTTGGGTTGTCACATCGGGTGTCCCTCAAGGGTCGAATCTTGGCCCGCTCTTGTTTAATATTTTTATAAATGACATTGGTAGTGTAATTAATATTAATTATCTACTGTATGCTGATGACCTTAAAATTTATACTTCCATAAATAGTATTGGTGACTGCGAGTGACTTTCTAAAAATCTAAAACAAGTTAATGAATGGTGCCATAAAAATAATTTAAAATTGAATCCAGCCAAGTGCAATGTAATGTCGTACTCCTTAAAGTCAGATGCAACTTTTTACCAGTATATTGTTGACGAAACTCCCTTAAACAGACCAAAAAACTTCGCTGATTTAGGAGTCCTATTTGGTTCAGCACTTTCTTACTGACCATGTCGATAGTATTGCACCCTCATCTAATCGCACATGTGGATTCACAATCAGAAACAGTCGTGATTTTAAGAAAGTAGATACCATAAAATGTATGTATTATGCTTTTGTTCGATACACGCTTGAATACACGTCACTTATATGGAGTCCATTTTATCAAGTACACATTGGTCGATTGAAAGGAATTCCACCCATTGGCACCCCACACGATGCTTTATTAAATAAACATGGATTTTCAAGTCTCGATATGAGGCGAAAATATTTTTCTGTAGTTATGCTGCATAAGGTCATAAGCAATCAAATAAACTGCGAATGTCTATATATGCTTAATTTAAAAGTTTCACGTCAAGCCTCAAGATACACGGACTCATTTTACTTACCAACACCTCGTGCTAATATTTTAAAGACCTCACCGTTGTATAATGTGTGTAATAATTATAATCGGATAAGTCAGGAATTGGATATATTCCACATTAGTATTCAGGATATCAAAAGGCATTATTTAGGATAACCATCATTGTACTTCATTTCCTGTAATATTTTTCATTTTTGTATGTTTCGTCTAAATATGTTTTGTCATATTTTCCTATTCTGTAATTGGTTATTACTTATAGAAAAGTGTATTAAATAAATAAATAAATATTCTCCTAGCTAAAAACGCTGGAAACGGAAATGTAAATTTTAATTAAAAATTATCGATATTTTTTGAAAACTAAGATTTCTATGAATCTAAGTACTTTCTTTTTGTAAATTTGTTGGAATGAATAAGATTATTTATATTGTAGAACATCAGAACACTGACACTAGATGAGTTCAGCAGATTTCAATTTTTTTTAAAAAGTAAATCCGATCATTTTATGATTACTGAAGAAATTTTAATCTTATGTAATACATTAAATACCTAGGCATCAAAATTACAAGGGTTGCCAAAAAAACAATTTATTTTTACTAGATTAAATAGGATAATTCCTATTAATAATGTTTTCCTTTTATTATTTACAGAAATTGGGAACTAGAATTGTTGAAAAAGAATCCCAGCTTGAAAAGGGCCCTATCTAACACGTTCTTGAAATGGTATTTTTTCGCTAATATAGGACTGTTTATTCAGTTTAATTTTTTGAAGTAAGTACTCTGTGTGGTTACATAATTAGGTCTACACTGACCCTGCATAAATCGCAATAGCCAATAAACTATTAACTACATTTTTAATTTTTAATAGTGGATTTTATTTGTATCACTAGGTGTAAGTTTTCTGCACTAATCGCATTTGATTTGTTCAGTGTAGCTTCAAATATTTGACAGTAGCACACGTGTAGTATAGACTTTTGACAAATATGACAGTTCGAATACAGTGTCGAGTGAGACACTAGTGCAACAAATAAAATTCACTATAAGTTTCAGTTATCTATTTGACATTACATAATTAAGTAATATCAAATCATGTCAAATTTTGACAATTAAAATGGTAAAATCTTTAAATCAACGATCAACAATAATTATTCTAATCTAACAAATTTCCAAATTAGCCGTGAGTTACAATGAAAAGAATCAAACACTAATGAAGAAGTTAGGTTAGCGAACTTTGTTTACCACTAATATATTTGCGTTGTTTTCCAATCGTCGGCCATATAGGATATTTTTGACAAGAAGTTGGATTGTCTAATTATAGACGGAATCCATCTTGATTGTTATTTAAAAATATGATATACTTTAATTAGTAAATGAAATATTGTTTAGTGAGCAAGAAATAGTACTAATTTCTCACGAGTATAATATTAAAAGCAGCCAAATGTCATAAATCATAAGGTAGTGAAGGCAAATATGATCCACCTTAATGTTTTTATTTTTTGTGTGTCTCCTTAGTTTTTTGTATGTTGCCGGCTGGCTTTAAAGTCACACTATATTGTTAGCAATTTTACCTAGAGTCGCCTCTGGTCAGGGAGATAAGCACGTGTTGATGACGATGCGTAAATACCCCGACCTTTTTCGTCGGCATCATGTTGGTGTTTCACAGGGCATTCTGAAAAGGACAATCAACGTGGTCGATCCCTCTGCTCAGATTACTGGCTACTCGTTGTCATTGGTTGTGTATTTGTATTAAATATTGATACGATTATAGTGGTGTTTACTAATATTTGGATTTTTAATTGTAATTAATATTTATACCCCCTTCGTTTTCTAACATCAGAAGTGCGATAGGACTCATGACTCACGCTGTTATTGATGCATTGTTATTAATTAATTACCGTTAATGACTTTTTGGTGAACAGTTATTTAAAATAATTATTGCGCTATTTCTTAGGTGTAGAACAATAGAAAAAAAATGGATTTTAAAAAATAGTGAAAGTGGTACTCAGATATTGTTATCAGAGTTAGTTACTGCGTTACAGGCATCAACTGAGCAGGTAAATTTGTGATATTTTCGACCTGAGTTAAGTGAATCCAACAAATGGGTGAGTGGTATTAAAATTATAAAGTATAAGATGATATGACGTGAAAATATTAGGCAGAGTTGGTTGATTTTTACTGAACGAATATTTGATATGATCAGTGAAACCAAATATTAAAAATTGATTACTTTTAAGACGGAGTTTACTGAGCCATTTCCACCGAAACGTAACGTTCATGAAAAATCTGCGATGATAAGTTTACGAGCTAATTGGAATAAAAGTGACGTAGTATAATTAATTATTCACAGTATTTCTAAATTAGATAATAATGGCAATGGAATTGTCGGACAATTAAAGAATTTTTACTATTTTTGTTATCTTTTGCTAAATGGAATTTAAAAAGCAGATGTTAAGTCACCTAATCTGAGAAAACACTTGTATGTTGATAAATATTCTGCCATTAATAGCCGTTTGTCAAAGAAATGTGAAGAGTCCAAGACCCGACGCCGCTGCTTCATACAGTAAACAAAATCTGAAAACGAGAATGATGATGGTTGCCCTATTTGCGCTAAATGTGGACATACGATTTTAAATTGTTTTACAAAAGCTGCTATTGACAAAATACGATTTTAAATTGTTTTACAAAAGTTGCTATTGACAAACGCCGAAACATTAATTTTTGTCTAGCTGATAAACTTGCAAATACAACAGAAATTTGAAATTGAAGGGCATCTAATTTAGGCTCTTGTAGAGATATTTATCGTTAATGTTGAAAAAATGTTTAGATTGATTTAAAAATGAAGTATTTATTTGTAAAATTCTGCTAAAGAGTATTACAAAAAAATGTCATGATAAGTGCAAAAATAAATGTACAGGGTGTACAAAAATTTATGACGTTGATATTTCTGTCATTTACATATTTGTTTGTGAGAGTATTCTGGATTATGATGTAATTATTGGTCGTGATTTATTTGTAGACCAAGCTCTAATGACAATAACAGATCTCCAAGGTTCTCGTATTGAACGACGTAAATTACATGGAATTAAGCGAATTTTTGAAAGTTTTCACATATAATTAGGTGAAGTTAAAGTTCCGTCCCAGAGTCCTACGAGGTATTTGAGAAAGTTTTTTAAGATTTCGGAAGCATATAACAAGTGATAATAAAATAAGAGCGGTTAATAATCTTAGTTAAAGAAAATAAAGTTGGAAAAAGGCATTGTTCTGAATCATGCTCCACCGAGTTACTCCAAGTGAAACAGAAGCTGTGCTAGGAGGGACATTACAAAAAAATTGGTGACTAACCTGAGTATTCGTCTAAGTAGCCCTGTGGTTTTCGTAAAAAAAAAAGTTGTGCATGCTGGTACAGTGTTCACTTTAAAGAACTATCAAAAACTGTTAAGAATGGAAAAGTAAATAAAATCAGAATGGCCGAACGGTCCATGGAAGATTCAGCTTGTTTTAAAAAAATTAAACATACGTTACAGTTACTTTTGGGAATTGAAAGTTCATATCCCCGATATGTTTTAATGTTTATAATACTAATTTATCGGTCTCAGTCCCGTCAGTGGTTGAGCCGGATGTGGTGGCTGCGGTCTCACATGTTTTTTTTAATTTTTATTGCTTATATTTATCGGTCTCAGTCCCGTCAGTGGTTGAGCCGGATGTGGTGACTGCGGTCTCACATGTTTTTTATTTTTATTGCTTATATTTATCGGTCTCAGTCCCGTCAGTGGTTGAGCCGGATGTGGTGACTGCGGTCTCACATGTTTTTTTTTAATTTTTATTACTTATATTTATCGGTCTCAGTCCCGTCAGTGGTTGAGCCGGATGTGGTGACTGCGGTCTCACATGTTTTTTATTTTTATTTCTTATATTTATCGGTCTCAGTTCCGTCAGTGGTTGAGCCGGATGTGGTGATTGCGATCTCACATGTTTTTTTATTTTTATTGCTTATATTTATCGGTCTCAGTCCCGTCAGTGGTTGAGCCGGATGTGGTGACTTCGGTCTCACATATTTTTTTTAATTTTTATTGCTTATATTTATCGGTCTCAGTCCCGTCAGTGGTTGAGCCGGATGTAGTGACTGCGGTCTCACATGTTTTTTTATTTTTATTTCTTATATTTATCGCTCTCAGTCCCGTCAGTGGTTGAGCCGGATGTGGTGATTGCGATCTCACATGTTTTTTTTATTATTATTGCTTATATTTATCGGTCTCAGTCCCGTCAGTGGTTGAGCCGGGTGGTGGCTGCGGTCTCACATGTTTTTCTTTATTTTTATCGCTTATATTTATCGGTCTCAGTCCCGTCAGTGGTTGAGCCGGGTGGTGGCTGTGGTCTCCACATATAAATTTATTTTTCAGAAGATGTCCAATTGACACAGTAGTGCCGAGAACGTCACTAGCGTCAGAATTGGCCGTGTTAGCAATTTTACCTAGAGTCGCCTCTGGTCAGGGAGATAAGCACGTGTTGATGACGATGCGTAAATACCCCGACCTTTTTCGTCGGCATCATGTTGGTGTTTCACAGGGCATTCTGAAAAGGACAATCAACGTGGTCGATCCCTCTGCTCAGATTACTGGCTACTCGTTGTCATTGGTTGTGTATTTGTATTAAATATTGATACGATTATAGTGGTGTTTACTAATATTTGGATTTTTAATTGTAATTAATATTTATACCCCCTTCGTTTTCTAACAATATCAATTGCTCGCACTATACCTGAATGATTAAATAATGAAATGCACACTGATAAAAAAAATGTTTTGTTGTTATTTATGGCTCATATTTTTAATATTAACGAAATTTCTTTTTATAACATTTTGTCGTTATATACTGTATAAAACTGTAATCTTACTTATTCAAAATAAATAGTTTATTAGCCATGAACGGTTGCAACAAAGATTTTGGGGTATGACGTCACTTTTTACCTAACTTTCTGAATGATTTATGAAACGTCAAGATGTGCCGTGCGAGGTTTCTAAACGCATTCCAGTACAAGACTTAAAGCATACAACGAAATTTTTGAGCTGATTTGATCAAAGAGAAAACCGCAAATGCATATGACAGCTGATCTACTTCTGTGATGTCTCACTGCAGTATCTGTTATATAGTTCAGGCCTTTACATCACGATGGTCACGGTACAGTAATGAAATATATAATACTAAATAATTCGGAGAAATTTTGTTTAATTTTTATTAACATAACGCAAGGAATCTTAAATTATTTTGAATATGCTTAATATGTTTATTAATTTAAGAATTACATTTTATTTATTTCTAAAAATGGTAGTAGGCGATCCATTCAAAATATGATTAATGTCTTATTATTATAATACACTTTTTTAAATTTAGGATTTTACCAGTGTCAGTGGCAATTGATGATATATAATTATTATTATTATACCCAATGTTTTAAAAGGCTACACCAACTAGTGGACCACGTTTTTAAGTCCCCAAATAATAATTTCAAGAATTTGATTCCGATTAGAAGTTTTACTATACAGGGTTTTTTGCCAAAACCAAGTCATGTATTGATATTGTAAAACGCAGATAGTAACTATTACATCAATAGAAATTGAAAATTCACATATGAATCTTTAAAACGTAATTATTTATAACTTTAATAACTTCATACGGTCAAAAATTTTAGCAAACTTATTTAATGTTAAATATAAATTGATTTTCATTTTAACTTAGAAATTTTCTAAAAGTTCACTATATTTTTTAGTTGT